TATCTGCTTTTTTTATAGATAAGATAACAGGTTTGTAAAAATGGAATAATAACCTCACGTTAACTCATTAAATAGCAGACTGATGGTTTGAAGTCAATCCACCTGTCTCAAGAGTCTACACCATGAATAACTGCTAAACCAGATTTGAAATATCTCGTCTCCTCTTCCAGTACATGCATACACCCACTGCAGATCTTATGTCGGGAAAAGCTGGATAAAGAAAAAGAGCAAAATGAAGAAAAGCAAAAAAAAAAAAACCCCACAAAACAACAACAACAAAAATCCCAAGAATCTTCAATAGGAATTCTTTCCTGTTCATATTGTGAAAATCACATACATGCAGAACTCACAGACATCTAAACGGCTGTTGCCCTTGGTTTTACACCTCTAGACCGGAGGTAAATATCGAAAGGCAAAGGTTATAAATTTGTTTCGGCAGAAACCAACTATCATAACATTACCACGAGTCTTATGCCTACTTCATGAATTCAGTCATCAGACATTTAATTTGGGCACAGTTTTTTAAAATTCAATTTAAGTATTTTAAGGAAATATATATAGTTTCCACTTTGGCGCAGTCCTCACCACTCTTTTCCAGCTTTAACTTGACCTGCTTTGCCCTCTTAGGCATTTGTATTTGAAATCCCTGCTTAACAATAAAATGTGGGTGTACATGGAACGATTTTCTCTGTATCTGTAGTATATTAACGTACACTACATGTTTATACATGTTTATATACATGTTTGATATATACATGGTTTAGCTTGAAACAACTTCTGACGAGGCATTTGGCCTCTTATTATATTTGTTAATATGATATTATGGCCGCCCTTTCCCTTTCCTGTCCTGTCCTTTCCATTCTTTTTTTTAGCACTAATATTGTGTTTTCCTGTTGGATTCCTGTTCATATGATTCTTCATGTCCGCTTGGCCAGAGGTGGGTAATTGTCAGAGGAGGAAAGGGGCTTTCTTGCAGCTGCTGTGTGTGTGTGTGTGTGTGTGTGTATCTGTGTGCGTGTCTGTGTGTGTGTATCTGTGTGCGTGTGTGTGTGCGTGTCTGTGTGTGTGTATCTGTGTGCGCACGTGTGTGTGTATCTGTGTGTGCGCGCGTGTGTGTGTATGTATCTGTGTGTGTGTGTCTGTGTGTGTCTGTGTGTCTGTGTGTGTGTGTCTGTGTGTATCTGTGTGTGTCTGTATGTGTATCTGTGTGTGTGTGTGTATCTGTGTGTGTGTGTCTGTGTGTGTGTATCTGTGTGTGTGTGTGTCTGTGTGTGTGTGTATCTGTGTGTGCGTGTCTGTGTGTGTGTGTCTGTGTGTATCTGTGTGTGTGTGCGTGTGTGTGTGTGTCTGTGTCTGTGTGTGTGTGTCTGTGTGTGTGTGTCTGTGTGTATCTGTGTGTGTGTGTATCTGTGTGTGTGTGTGTATCTGTGTGTGTGTATCTGTGTGTGTGTATCTGTGTGTGCATGTCTGTGTGTGTGTGTATCTGTGTGTGTGTGTATCTGTGTGTGTGTATCTGTGTGTGCATGTCTGTGTGCGTGTCTGTGTGTGTGTGTATCTGTGTGTGCATGTGTGTGTGTGTGTGTGTGTCTGTGTGTCTGTGTGTGTGTCTGTCTCTGTGTCTCTGTTTGTGCGTGTCTCTGTGTGTGTGTGTTTCTTAGAGATGCTTTAACAAAGGATGTAGAGCTGCTTCTCTGGCTTCTACTTGTCCCTTGGTAAAGATATTAAAGTGCTGTGGTTTTGAGGTCCCATAAAGGGTTACTGTGTGTGGGGAGAGGTGGTAGTGTTTGAGTTGATCAGAGGTCAAAGTCAAGTTGCTTTCATCCTCTGAGCCTCAGTTTCCTTATCTGTAAAATAAAAGTAATGATACTTCATATAACTTACGTGCGGTTTTGAGAAAATATCCAGAAAAGTGCCTGACACTTTAGAAAACCAGAATATGTAGGTTGCTGTTTCCCTTCCTTTTATTCTTCTCGGAAACAAGGATTGAATATAGACACTGCCAGTGATATTAAAGTATATAAAGGATTTCTGATGAGAATGCCAGGGAAAGGTTGCAATAAAAATGTACTCTTGTCAACAAAAGCTTCCTAAACCCACCACACAATTTCAATATACCTTACATGTAAATTAATTTCTGTGTGTGTGCATGCACATTTATGCCACATCAGTGTACATGCAAGCATATGTGTGCACACATGTATGCGACATTTGTGTGCGATTTGCTGTGTTTGTGCATGCATGTGTGGGGGCATGTGAAGAAAGAACAGGGCTGGCAGGAGAGGATATATTGCACTTGCTACTCGATGGGAACCCTTATTCAGTATATTGTAACTCACAGTGTATAAAATAAAGTTTGTTTATGATGTTGGTCTTATCTTCTAATTAAAATCATAGGCATGCAGCTTCTTTATACCTGCATAAAATGAGCAGTTTAATTTCTTGGTGCCAGGGGAAAATTGATTTCATTGCCTGTTATGTAGCCCATCAGTACATGGTGTGAAGCAAGTGAGGGCAGTTATGAAAGCCTCCTTCTTTCCCAGTATATTTGTCCTCTCAAGCTCTGCAAGGAGCATGGATGTATCTGTGAGGTTTCTTCAAGGGCAGCAGGGTGCTTCTCCCAGTTGTCCCCAACCCATCATAGTGCCAAAGGAGAAGAAAGCCATTCTGTCTCTGAATTGCCCATCTAAAAGCTTCCCCACTAGATTATTCACATAAGAATGAAAAAAAAACCACCAACAACAAACTATATACTCCATCCACTTTTTAAAAATTCACTGATAACTAGTAATAACTTATTTCAATGAAGCCAAAGCAGATATTTCAGAAAAAGGAAGTAAGCTTGTCTTGGAAACTATAAAGGAATCAAAGAGGAAAAGGACTATGAATCTTTGCACTTAAAGGGATGAACTTGTTTTAGAGCTTACTTTATAATGCTAATATATGCTATGCTAGCATTTTAAAAATCCTGCTATTTAATAGTTTTGTTTTATAATGTATGGAAATGTTTTTTTGGCTTTATTTTGTACTTTGAGCCCCATGATTCAGATGATGTGTAGAAATAGCCCTAACAAATGGTGGCAGTAGAACCAAAGGCAGGAAAAAGTATATACGAGAAAGTAAAGTCATGTGCTCATTCAGTCACTCAGAAAGCATTAGGAGCTCAAAGAAGTTAGGTCGAGCTGGATATTAAAAGTCGAAATTACTTGCTGCTGATGAAGCCAGAGACATAGGCAGGGGGCAGATTTTGGTCAGGCTTTTTTAAGGAATTTAGAATATAGGAGGATCAGTGATAGTCCATTGGGCGGTTTTAAGTAGGGCGTTATAGAGTCAGAGTTGTATTATAAGATGATGGTTCTGGCCACAGTGTGCAGAGAGGATTGGAGGGGAAAGGCAGAAACCGTGAGATTGGCTAGTAGTGTTTTATATTATAGTAATCAGTACAGGGATTATCACATTTTGGACTAAGGTAATCAAAATTGGCAGGGACAGAATGAATCTGATTTTAGGCCTAATTGGAAGGTAAAATACACAGGGCTCAGAGACTAATTTTAGCAGGTAAATGGAAAAGAAGAGTTAAGGATGACTCTCAGGCCTTTGGCGTCACATTAACGGTTGGTAGAGATACTCACTAAGCCAGGCAGGAAATAGTGGGGGGGGACTAATAATGCTGGGACGGGGTATATTGTGAGGCATGTTGAGTTTGAGGTGTTTGTGAGACATCCAAATAGAAGAATCAACCAGGAAGCTAAGTTTTCAACTCTAAAACTGTGAGGAGACCTCAGCTGGAGGTTTAATTTATGAGCTGTCCCTTGAAAGATGGTAACTGAGGAAAATAAAAGCAAGAGTGAAAGAAGTCATTGAGGGGCAGTGTGTTGAATGAAAAGAAAAGAGGATTAAGCTGAGGGATGAGGAATGGTCCTATGATAAGGATAATAGAGAAAGTTGAGTATTCAAACGAGACGAAAAGGAAGACCAGACAAATACGGTGCTACGGAAGCACCTGGAAGAGAATGCTTAGAGGAGGATGGAACTGCCAGTGGTATCAAAAATTCTTAGGCGTTTAACCAAAGAAAAGGTCTGACTGCCTAAGTGTCTATTGGATTTAAATACTGGAAAGTTGAGACCAATGTCATTGAATTACTATAAGTAGATGGCATATTGCACCTATTGGATGGGGCCGGGGGCGGGGGCGGGGGAGGAACTTTTAAGTGAGTACTGAAAGGTAAATCACAGTCATAGCTATCACTTGTCAAGAATATTCATTATACCAAGTGCTCAAAACCAGTGTGGTTATCATCATACTCAATTATTTTTGTGGAAACCAAGGCCTCTAGAGGTTAAGTAACTTTCCAAGGTGACACAACATGAACAGACAAGTGTTCAGATTTGAACCTGCTTTCTCTGATGCCAAAGACTTGGACTACACCCTTCTGTCCATTAGGCTTGGGGATGACAAACTTTCTTGAGCAGCAGGATTTGCCTTGAGGTCCTTTGGGGGATATGTGCTTTGGAAAATATTGAGAACAAAGGGACCATGAAACCACTTCAATCAACTGAATCACTAAAACAATTCAGAACGAACAAAATATACAGTGCAATCATAGGGGAATCCTTTCCATGACTAAAGAGCAATAAAAGCAATAGTGTGATGAAGAGTGACATGGAGAATTGAGTGGGGGAAGAGGAGGAGAGAGAGGTGTCCCCAAGATCAGGGGACAGAGGAGCATAAGAATATGCCCCAGTACTTAAAGGAGGGACATCACAAAAATGAAGCCTCATTTGTATGCAGACCTACCCTTGCACAATATTTCAGCTCAACTCAGAAATGAAGGACTAAATCAGGGGAAAAAAATACCTATATTTCATATAGAGGCCCAGACACCCCTTTCTATGTGGTGATATACAAGTACAGATGACTTTATATTTATGTTTTAATTTCTTGTATTTATTCTCTCCTACTAACTCTATCTATATTTTCTCCTCTCTCCTTTTTTTTTTAGATCATGCTTCTTAGTGATCCTGAAATGGAGAGCAGCATATTGATAAGCTCAGACGAAGGGGCGACCTATCAGAAATACCGGCTCACCTTCTATATCCAGAGCCTGCTCTTTCATCCCAGGCAGGAAGACTGGGTGCTGGCCTACAGTCTGGATCAAAAGGTGAACAAACACTGTTTTCATTCACATCTTGTCACCCAGGTACAACTTCATGAAAGGCACTTGTTTACTCCATCCAAATTTTGGAGGGGATTCAGTGGCATTTCATTATTCCAACCAAGCTGATTTTATCTGCAGCATCTAACTTTCCTTTGTACTCTTTAGTATTGAAATCTGCAGGCAGGTATCTTTCATTTATCAGCAATGCTCTTTATTATTTCACAGATTCAAGACGGCTTTCTCTATAACTTTACTCATTTGACATTTAAAACAACGCTGTGAAGTAAGCAGCAAATGTGTATTTATAATAATTTTAGAGTGACGATAGTAAACAGAGGTGTTCAAATGCAGCCAGCTCGTAATTGGAGGAGCCAGGGTTTGAATGCACATGGTCAGATTCCAAGCCTAGGGTGTATTCCATCACACCATGCTGTCTTGATCTTTTTGAATCTTTTTGAAAATTTGAATATACCATTGTTCTGAGTTTAGCAAAGGAAGCAGAACCTCAAACATGTCCATTTTATTGTTTTCTAAAAGTACATTTCAGATATCGTGGGCCAATAAGTCCTCTGCTTTGAGCTCCAGATCCAATGTACCCAGCTGTGTACTTGACATTGTCCTTTGTATGTCTCAGAAGCCTCTTGATTTAACAACATACTCCATAAATGAACTTCTGTTCTTTCCCCCTCAACATAGCTGGTTTTCTTCCAGCATTCCCTAATTGTACCCATTTAGTTGCAAACGTCAGAAACCTAGAAGTCATCCTTCATACTTCCTTGTTCCTAACCCAGCACCTCTAATCCCTCAAGTCCTATCTCTAAATATTTCTTGATTTCCATGTACTTCATTCTGGTACCACCACCCCTCAAACATAGGTGACATCTGTCATTTGAATTATTGCCAGAGCCTCTTCCAGTGTGTTCATATGTATAACTTGAACAATATATTCCCCAAATGTAGATCTGGTGATTTCATGCCTTCGTTAAAACTCCTTCAGCATTTTCTCATTGCTCACAGGAAAAAGACCCCAGTCCTCAGCAGGATCTGTGAGCACCTGTTTGGTCTGATCTCTCCTTCTCCCTTTTGACTCACTGTTATCACTTCCCCCTGAATGGCTTCCTTCAGCCCCTCACCCCAGCTGTCTCCTTGTTCTAGTTCCTGGGCCTAGAACCTTCTTCCCTAAAGCAAATCTCATCGCTGTCAAATCGCAGATCTAGTATTACTTCTTGGGACTGCTTTCCTAAATTCTTTGATAAAGTTTTACCATCCTTGATGCTCTTTCTCATAGCGCTGTGAGAAAGAGCATCGATAGCCCTTCAGAGTACCAGAGTACCTGCCATGTTGAAATTCCGCACTGATGCATGTGAGTTCTGGGCCGTCGCCATTCCTCCCTAGGTCACAAGCTCCTAGAAGACAAGAACGTCTCTGGTTTTACTCACTGTTGTAGCACCGGTCCCCAGCACAGTACCTGGTACTTTATAAGTGCTCAGTAAATATTTGTTAAGTCAACAGATTAGTGGATAAATGCATAAATGCTATGGTAACAAACCCTCTAGCGTTGGGGGTGTCTTATACTTAAGAAAATGGACTGTAGGTGCTTCTTCTTGGTATTTCCTGCCATCTCCAGAACCTAAGTACAATGCTTGATGCCAAACTATTATGTAATAAGATTGTAGAATCAATCAGTAAAGGGAAATAGAAAATTCCAAGCACTGCCTTGCATAGAGATATCCACAGAATAATCTTGGCTGAAATAGCTTCTTCTCTTTGTTCTGTCTTAAATCCTAAAGCAGTTGCCCTTCAGTATATATTTGAATATGTGACTGTAAATGTGAGTGTGTGTGTGTGTGTGTGTGTGTGTGTGTGTGTGTGTGTGTGATGTCAGCACCTTTAAACAATAATTTCAACATAACCTTTATATCTCTCATTAATGGAGCCTTGAGGTGGGCGTCAGGTGCTTAATGCAATCCCCTTAGGACACCCACATGACATTTGCAGAGCAAAAGCCACTGCAAATACATTTCTTTCATGGCATCAAGTGGATATTGTATGAAAGACTTAGCCAAATGTCAGGTCGTCTGTGAGTTTAGATGCTCAGTGTTGCCAGGAATTTTGAAGCTATATTGAAAAAAATAAACGATTTGGGTGTTGTTCAATGGCTGGATTGTAATTTATTTAGAAGAGGCTCAGGAGTCCTAAACCATGTTTTCATTAGTACAGAGACAAGCTACATTAGAAGCAACAGACCTCTCATTCCAGGAGGTTGAGAAACCAAATGCAGTGTGCTTTGTGTTTATCCAGAAGGAGTATTCATTTTCTCCATCCCCACAGCAGGAAGAACCTTTGGGGCACTGTTCAAAAAGGACTTACCCGTGTGGATATAATGTATTCAAAACACTTCCAGGCTTGGTGGCTACTTTTACACTTAGTAAAAATATCGAGAAACGTGGCAGTGGGTGTGGATGGATTTTCCTAACCACACTCGCATTTCTGGATGCATTATTCCTTAAGTACTCTTTCTGGTTGACATCTTTTGTGTATAGTGGCTGAATGCTCTTCAGGCCATAAAGGTTCGAACGGGGGCCCTGCCATTCTTTTAAATAAATGGTGTGAAGAGGCAGATGATGCCTCTGGCGACATTTGCAGAGATGACATAAAACACCCAGACTCAGTCATCCAGGTTGCAGAAGATTTTTTTCTTTATTTGGGGAGTAATTTATCAGCTTAGAGTCAAAGAGAGTGATACTATGCAGCAGCGAATGAAGTTGTAAGGTAGTGGAGATTGATATACAATTCCTTATTTCAGACTGGAGCCTTGTCTGATATGCATGCGTCGAGGCAGCTGGCTTCTTCTGGAGAAAATGAAAACTGCTAGTGTTAAGGTAACTGCTGCATCAAAGGGAGATGTTTGTGATGAGGAGTGAATCGATGTTTCCATTATTGTGCCTTTGATGAAATGCACTAGCAATTTCTTTAGAATTGGTAAGGCTGTCTCATTCTGTTGTATGTATTACAAAAGACTTAATTGAATGATATTTTACAGGGACAATAACCAATCGCTTTCCCTTTCAAATTGCTACCCCAAAGCTGCAGGAGACTTGCCAGGAGATCTCACTTGGTCAAGGCACTGCTGGGGAACTAGGGAAATGCCTTCTGGAGAGAACAAAATCATATCTAGAAATTTAGTGATGCACATAGCGTTGCATTAGTTAGGTACCCAATGGCAGCTTTTGAATCAACTGGGAAATATGGCTACCTTACCCTGGTGGTCAAGGCCAGGTTGTAGGTGAAGATCATCCAAGCCTTCCGACTTCCTAAGCTGCAAAGGGGTGGGGAGGTAAGGGGCAAATGCACCTTGTCCTTGACCCTGCTGGAGGGCCATGCCTCTCCAGTTCTGATATGTACCAATATAGGAAAGTCCTTTCTGTCTTCCGCTCAGCTTGACTTGGGTTTTGATCAAGTCCTTTCATCCTGGCCATCTTATGAAAGTCCCAAATTCCTGCCAATTCCTGTGCCAGCTCCTCCTCTGCCCAACAGATTTTCCTGTAGTCTTGAACTTCAATATAAAAGGACTCAGTACTTAGTAAAGACAAGAGATTCTCTCTTGGATATAAGAATCTTTGGAGAAGCTTTACAAGGATCTTTGCAATTAAAAAATTACCAGCAAAAGTAATAGGTTATGGTTGACCAAACTGGAAATAAAAGAAAAGCTACTCCTGTTCTCTCTCCTCCCCTCCCCTCCTTTGTCCTCTCCTGTGAGAACCAAAGCTCTAGAAAGTCTTTTGAGGGCTGTATATTTACCAATTATTTAAGAGGAAGGATTCTTTTTTTTGTTTTCATCAGGATATTTTCTCACTGATGACTGAAATAGCTTACCTTGTGATGTTTTGGATTACCTGGAGGGTTCAATAATCTTATTAAAACTGAAAATTTTTGAAAGATTTTGAGATAGGTTTTGAGGACGTTGCAATCCTATAAATAGATAGGTGCTATTCTCATCGCTGTAGAAAGCTGGTTGTTTAAACATCCCTCATTTTGACAAGAGAGTGTAGTTTTTTTAAAAAATGGGCACGTGCTCATGTATTCACAGATGCATACATCCTGGCACAGGGGACCTTCCACCGGAGATAGAGGACTAAAAATAGCTACTTTTCTGCATAAGAGGTAGTATTGCAAAGCTCTTTATTATCATTTATCTTCTTGGCAAAATGAAACTTTAACAAATACACCTGGCTTTGGAGATCAGAGATGAGGAACTCAATGGGATTTCATTCTATTGTTTTTCAGACACTTCTGGGAAAGACTGTTCTAGAATATCCAATGATTTCAATCTCAAAACAACTTTCTGAAATACTAGCACACTAATGATAGTTTGCTGTTACAATAGTTGGGGAGGTGGGTGTGCAACTATGTTTTTTTGTTTTTTTTGTTTTTTTTGGTCACCTGCTACCAGCCATGTTCAATAGCAGCTGACAGACTGATGAGCTGGTTAAGAGGCCGATGCGTTTTAGGCATGGTCACTGGCAAAATGGGGTTCACAGTGGAGGAAGTGATAGTGGTTCCATGTGGGCTTTTCTCCTTGGGTCCTGCCTGGGGCTGCCACGTCATGCACGAGTGGGGCACTGGGCAATTTGAGTATATCTGGAGTGGAGGGCCTGAAAATTCAAAAGGAAGTTTAAACCTGTATTTATGGAATGCTGGATAAAAACAAAGCTGTTTCTTTCTCATATAAGCCCTCAGATTGGAAATGTAATTGTATTCAGAGCCTCCAGGATTAGTAGGTGATGCTAACTTTTCTCAGTAGCCATTGGCAAAAACAAGCATCATGTCTTCCTCACCTGGTGGGAATAAAGCTGTTGGGGATTAACTAGGGATGGCCATGATTTTGAAGCTTATCCCCCATGGAATAAGAGTAGGACTGAAGGGCATTTTTTATTTGGAGAAAAACATTGCATTTCCATTAGGACCTCTTCCATGCCTACAAAACCATTTGCAGATCATTT